GTTTTAGTATCATTATTACAAACTCTTTATGATAGAAAATAACTTTCAAAGGTAAGATTAGAAAAAGAATCAAGAGTGCTTTACATCTAAGATGAATTTGACAAAGAAAGAAAAAGAAGGAAGAGAGAGGCAGAGTGTAAACTTAGCCATGCATGAGGTTCTGGGTTCAATCCCCAGTACCTCCACTAAAAATAAATAAATAAACCTAATTTCCCCCAAAAAACCAAACTAAATACAGTTTTTTAAAAGATGATGAATATGTTAATTAGTTGGATCGTGGCGATTATTTCACCGTACATATAAAACACAGGTCATATATCTTAAATATATATACAATTTTTATTCATCAGTTACACCTCAGTAAAGATGAGGGGGAATCTGTCTGTAAACCTAGTAGTGAGAAGAAAGCAAAGGGACCATGACAGTAGTAGCCTCTTGGCTGTTCTTCCTCCTTTGCCTTGTGCAAACTGTAAAGATGAAAAGAACCCAAACTGCCACGCATACCTGGTGGGTTTAGCTGCACATAAGACGTGTCCTACCTTGTCCCCTCCTGCCGATGTCAGTCAGCCACAAGGGATCAGAAAGTTCAGGTGTAAAGGAGGACTATTTCGCCAGCAGCAGATTCTGGGTACTTACTGTGACCCCACGGCTTCCTGGTTTCTCTAACATTTTTGTAATTCCCTGTCCGTCCCCTTCCCCCCTGCCCCCAGCCTAAAGCACAGGGCCACTAGCACACCGGCCTTACCTTCTTTCAGCATGCCCACTTTTAAACACTTCATGAAGCGGCAAGCCTGGCAGGATTTACGTCTGCGCTTTGTGATTTCACATTCATTCGTGGCAGGGCAGCTATATTCTATATTACCTAAAACACAGAGTTTGAAGAAGAGAAGCTGTTAGATTGGCAAGACTCAGGCAATAGTAGCATCCTCAAGGCAACGTCAACTCTGCTACTCCTGGCCCCTCCCTCAAACAAAAGTCACGGGATTCATGAGGACATCACAAATATCAGGAAGCTGGATGCTCGGCAACAACCAATGATGATGCATCAAACGTGGAAAAATACATGGCGAAGCTCTTCAAAAGACTAAGCTTAAAATTAGCCTTTAAAACATTATGCTAAAAAAATATATATAATATATATATACACACACACACTTAGTTCGCTCTTGAAAAGTAGCAGTCTTTCAGAACCTTAGGATTGACATTTCCAAGCACATTATTTCCATAAAAACACAAACATCAAAACTGTATTATTGTATCATTGATCCTGGATTTCTTTTGGTCACTAATGCTGGAATGCTGAACAGCATAAACCTCACTGTGAAAAATGATCGGCAGGCTAATTTGGGACCATGCAGGGACTGGAGGGCAGGAACTGAAGTCACATGGTTCTCACTTCCAACACTTACCAGAGCCTTTCAATACAATTACATGCTTGGAAAATCTTTACTGATAATGATCATCATCACCATCATCACCACCAACATCATCATCACCATCATCATCATCACCATCATCACCACCATCATTATCATCATCACCATTACCACCACCATCATCATCATTACCATTATCATCACCAACATCACCGCCGTCATCATTACCATCATCATCATCATCACCACCATCATTATCATCATGTTTATTACATTACTTGCATAATTAATTCTAAACACTCAAGCTGCATGGAAGTGTTATAAACAACAATAAATTGCTATGAAATTATAGTTTTAATATTACAGTCTACATCATTTATGTTAGTAACAACACATTTGAAATGATAATGATGTCACCAGAAGAAGAGCCAAACTTTAACTTGAAATTTTTCAATTAGTGCCAGTGGCAGTGTGCAGGATGCTCTGGGGCTGCCTACAGCTTTGTAAAGAAGCTGCCTTTAAAATAGAGCCTCTCTCCCCTATCAGCTCTGTCACATAGTGCTTGAAGGTCTTTCGTTACTTCCTAACCCTTTCCCCTTGTGATTAAGTGCATTAGTATCTTAATGAAAATGCATTCTGTTTATTGCCCTCTTGGGAAGGGGGAGGTCATCACACCAAATGCATAAATTGTCATCAGAGACGGTAGGAGCATAATTGCAATTTTGCTGCTCCATGTTTGCAATACTCAGGGTCCATCCAAGTCCCCTGAAACACGCGCAGGTTCTAGTAATTAGCATAGAGTCTGCCTGGGACCGCAGCATTGATGAAATATTTCAGAGTTCATCACACTTTGTAAACACTGATTTATATTGACTACCTTTCTCCGGACTGATGTCTCCTCATTAAATATCACATTAGTGGATTGCAGCATTGTAGAAAGACTCAACTACTCAGCAACTGCTAATTCAACAGGAAGTAATACCCAACCACTTATAACTACGGAAATTGGTTAAGTATGCATGACTTCAAAAAAAAAAAGCCTATGCATTATAACTTGAGATAAGCTTATCGAAACTGACTAAATTAGCATTCTAATTCAGGGCATTTATAATAATAAAAGCAACTACTTTTGAACATAATAGGTTAAATATTAAGAGTAGTATTAATTGCATCAACAGAAGCACCCACCGTCACCTTGCTTAGAGATACTACTGATGCTACACAGGAAACAAAGGATAAGTCAAAGGAACCAGACTGGTTGGGTCATAGCTGGGAATAAAGGGATTTAGAATCTGAACTTTAGATGAACCATTTTTCACTGCAATTTTCCCTGAAAATTTATTTTGCATCGAGAGAGTGTTGCTAGTAATTTCCTAGGGGTTAATTAGTATTCTGCTACCAGATCCTTCCACTCTACATGGCTCTCCTTATGCTTATTTAAAAAGAAACACAAGCCTCTGTTTTCTTAGCAAATGCTGAACAATAACCAGTTACAAAGGGGAAAAAATATTTTCCAAACAGCATTTCTTCCCTTGTCTATTCCTGAAAAGTCAATATGAAGTCTTAATTTGTTCACTTTCCAATATCAAGGCGTGAGCACCAGTACCCCTCTTTGACCCCCCCAGTGCTGGAAACTCCTACTGGGATGACCCACCACTGCACACACCCAGAAATAATCATCTGTCCTTTCAAATTAGCTCCTCTTCCTCTTTGAAAATTATATCCTCATCCTTCACAACAATGACCCTCTGACTGGCCCCTAAATCAGGCCTGCGTGAGCTCACACCTGGACTATGGGAGTTACCCCCTAACTGGGCGTTTGGCCTCCGTTCCACCCCACTCTAATCCATGCTGCATACCACGATCATCTCCCTCTTCCTATGACTGCTTTGATCATGTCGCTAACCTACTTGAAAAAAAAAATCAATAGAATCTTATGGCCTCCGGAATTACATGTAAAATATTAAACTAGCAAACAAAATCCCTGCCCCGATCTCACTCTCACCCACTTTTCCAGCCACATTACAATGATTACCTTATATGAACTTTCTGATGCACCAATTTGATTTATTCCGTTTTTGCCGTGTCCTTCAGACATCCCTCTGAGGATGATCTATCTTTGCTCCTCTTTTCTCCTTAAAATTACTTCCAAGGCTCAATGTTCAACTCAAATTCCGTTCAAATCTTTCATGAAAACTTCTCAGGCCATCCTAGCAGAAAATGATTTCTTGGTTCTCGTATCTTTTCAGATACTCTCATCATATACAGACGTGCCTGATTTTTTTAACCTTTCCACGTGCATGTTCCCCATTAGATGGTAAGATCTTGAAGGCAAGGATTATTGCTTATGCAGTAGAGAAATCTTCCACTGAAAAGTAGTATATAAGTAAAAGAATACATTTTCTGTATTTTTTTTGATATCTCAAGGTCATTTTTATGAACATCAATTATGGCGGTGTCATATAGAGTACTGTCCACAAGGTCAAGTGAGCTGGATGTCCCATTAGGAAGCAATATTAATTTAAGAACACTGGGAAAACCATTTCACAAGTCAAATAATAATGATAATGATAATAATAATAATAATAATAATAATAATAATAATGTAGAAGAAAATCTAGTTAATTTTTCAAAACCTTAAAGAATAGCTTTGACGAAAATGGAAATCCATGGCAAAAGAAGGAGAGCTCATCAAGGAGAAAATCAGGAAAATACAAAGGTTTCTGAGGAGTTAAGTGTGAAAAGGAAAAAAACAAGAAAAACTAAGAGGCTTTAAAGGGAGTAAAAGTACACCTTGATATAAATAAGAATAAAAGTAGAACAAAATATGAAAATACAGATAAATGGCACTAAAATGTTAATTAATGTTTATCTTATTATAATACTTAACTACTATTTAAAAAATGAGTGTCCTAAGAATTGCAGCCACGTTGCAGAAAACATTTAGGAGTGATTCAATAGTAGTGGCTAAATCTATGGATGACCCTTCTATAAATGATTGGCCAAAGAGTTTTAAACTTCTTCCAAAAACAGAAGGAAAACTGTCAAATCACCACATGGAAGTTTCAGATCACATAAAAGAAGGATTCTAGTTCTCTTTCTAACCATTCCATTCCATAATTCTTCAATGACAAAGAGAAACGGAAAGGCAGAGGGATTTTTAATAACGCCTTAGAATGAGATCTGGAGGGCGGAGTTTAGTCTCATTCATTGCTGAATCCCCCATGCTTATCAATGAGCCTGCAATTTTGTATCATGTACGGGGCTGGGAAAGAAAGAGGTAGTTCCTGCTCTTGAGGAATCTCTATTCATACAGAGGAGCTAAGACACCACAACAAATAACAATACAATTTAGTGTGTGGTGCAGTGGTTCCGGATTCAGCGGGCACCGCGAGCCCGTGGACACACAGACATTCCCACAGCCGCAGAGACTGTGCTTGGGAAAGTCAGTGAATTCTTCCCACAGGAGCACATGATTGAACTGCACTGTGAAAAATGAATAAATGACTACATTGGGGTAAAGGAATCTTCCCTAAGCTATAGGAGACATGACATTCTTGTAAAAATGTGAATGGAAAAAAAAAATACAGTGGTCCCGAGTGTTTTCATAAATGATATATTTTCAGCTAAGTGTATAGAAATGGTTCATGATGAATCTGGCATCCTTCAGCCAAATGTTCTGTTTCAATAAATTTGTCTTGACATATATGGATGATAACCTTGATTTCACTAAGCCACGCTGGTTTGTCTTGAAAAACAAATCAACATCATTCTAAAGAACTTCGTTGCTGGAGGAAAACCTCTCTAATTTCCAAGCCCTCCCATTGAGTTCCTCAGTTTATTGTTGCTGGCTATGATCGCCCATCCAATGGTCTTTGATCCATGAGATTCTGCCCTTGAAAGACCTTCCCTGGTGCTTTTTCTATTTCGTAAAGAAAGCATTTTATCCTAAAAATGTGCCTCTCCGAGCACCTGGGCAACACTGTTACATCTATTTCGGTAATGGCTCAAAGACAGTACTCCCAGGAGACCCTGTGATCTCAATGGGCCACTTGTTTTCCTCGATTCACGAGAAGTGGAAATGAGACAAAAATATTTCCAGAAGCGACTGTGAGCACCTGGAATGTTAACACTGGACAGTCATTAAGGAGGATGCACAAGTTATTGTTCACAGCCCAGGATTCTCATTTCAGACACAGAGTTTCCTTCGATTATAGCTTGCTACTTTCTGAACCACATTTGTCAGATGGCACCAGGGACTGAACTGGGCAGCAACTGATGACCCAGCTGGAATTTTCCCAGTTTTGTCAAGAGCCGGGGAAGTGAGCTCTGCTTCGGAGGGAACCAAATCAACGCAGAAGCTCTGGGTTTTTAAACCAGGCTGACAAGAATGATAGAGCAATTTATAATATCTCCTGGCGGCTTTTCAGAGGGTCCTGGGCTCTGATTACTTATTTCAGAGTCTTCTGTACAATTAGTTTGCAGG